AACCGCTAAAAAACACGCTGAAATTGTGTCCTGGTTCTGATGCATGTGATTTGCCGTGAAGACCCCGCTCGAAGCACTGCCTCCCTCCAGCTTTCCCCCTCTGAGCACTACTGAGCTCACGCTCCGCCGCGCTTTCTTGCCAAAATATAGTTTCACTTAACAAAAGGCTCCCCTGATTCTCCCTGGTAATTAATTCCACCTAAAGCAATGTCTTTTAATATCGGACATGTGCCAGAGTTTGCCAGCAAAGCAGAGAGACCGGCACGGCTTTGTGTAACCATTGTATTTTCCGTAAGGCAGCCCCGTTAAATCACAACCACATTCTAACGTAAAATATTCCACATGTTCTTCAGCAGCCTTCTGCAGGGAGGACTTTGTATTTTTTGTAATTTTATACTCTGTTTCCCAGAAGCATGGTAGGAGCTGGCTTTTAATGACAATACACATACTGTATCCCTAGATGAATACTCTTTTCTTAAAACTTTGACAAGGTACAATGTACATTTAAAATATTTTTTTATTTTAATACAGATTTCCAAGTATGTGTTTTCGGAAAATGTTCTCAGAAGAAACTTCAGTCTCTTTTCTACCACAAATTATGGAGACTAGTACAAATCATTAAAAGACATCTTTTACCTCCTGTTTACGCCCACCAAAAAACAACATTGGAACGTCTTACAGAATCACAGAATGGCAGGGGTTGGAAGGGACCTCTGTGGAGCACCAAAAGCCTTGACCTCAGTAATCTAGGAGGAAAAAAAAAGATTACTCATGAAAGCCATTCACCCTTTGCGCTTCAGACCATAATTCAGACTCAGAACACGCGCCTGCGGGTAGCCCTGCAAGGCTCCCTGCATCCCTGGGGGCACGGCATCCCGTAGTCGGGGCATCTCTGGGGCTCTGCCTGGCTCTTGGGGCAGCCCCTGGGGATGCTGCCCCGGGACTCAGCTCCAGGGCTCAGCTGAGGCTTTGCCGCTCGTCTGCGCCCCGAGGTGCCGGGCAGGAGCAGCAGGTCGGTGTCCCCCGGCAGAAGCTCCCGCGCTGTGCCGACCGACGGCCCCCCCCGGGGCCCCCACGGCGGCACCCAGTCCACCCGCAGACACCTCGCGTGGAGTCCTCGCTGGCGTACCCACGCGGGCACGGCACCACCAACGTCCTGACCGCCCCGCCGCTTGTGCTGCATTTCACAGCGCCAGAAAATAGTCAGTTTTAGGCACACGTCACCAGGATGCTCCTCACTGCTAAGCACGCTCAGCGACTTGATGGATTTAGATCACTGCCTCTTCCATTTGAATTTGTCTGAACAATTTTCAGAACCTTTGAAAGGTATTTTCGAGGCTTTATTGTAGCTTTTAAAGTTTTACCTTGCCATTACTGCTTCAATTATACATCTGCTGTTTGCAAAGAAAACACAGCATTAGCTCGTAAGAGGATGTCCAGTCATCAAATTGATCCAAGAAATCGGGCAGAGAATTAATCAGTCAGCCACTGCATAATACATCCATGTCTGCAGAAAAGAGAAAGCAATTTTTAAGTCATATACAAGAATTCACTAAATTGTTTGTATTTTGTTTCTCATTGTATCTTTCATTTTTAATCTTCAGAAAAATTGATAGTGACCCTAATCAGACTCAAACAATAACACACCCAGTGACCTCTGACCTCCGAGGGGCTGCAGAACTGAAAAGACGCAGGGACGAGGCGTGCCGAGAGCATTTGGGCCTTGGTGGGTAAAACACCGGGTGCTGGACACGAATCAGCAGGGGTGGCACCCGGGGTGGTGGCAGCAGAGAACGACGTGGGGTAAGGGGCAGAAAGCGGAGAGCGACGCTGTGGGGCTTCTTCCTGTGCCGTTTGGGAGATGCTTGCGGAATCGCGGAGCGGTCTGGGTTGGAGGGGACCTTACGGATCACGCCCGGGGTGCCCACAGCCCCGTCCGACCTGGCCATGGGTGCCTCCAGGGTTTTCCTCCAAGCTCCTAAACTTTAACCTTGCGCGAGCAGGGATGCGCTGGAAGCTCCCCGCGGCTCAGAGGGTTGGTGTCCAGCTCCCAGGCCCGGCTGCACCAGGCTGCAATAATCGGGCGCTAATTAAAACGTCTGTTAAAACACGCTAGC